CAGATTGTCTCAAAACAGCCAAAGTAGTGCCTATATTTAAGTCGGGAGATGCAACCCAAGTCGATAATTATCGACCCATATCAACCCTATCAGTTTTCAACAAAATATTTGAAAAGTTATTAATCACACGCCTGATAAGTTTTTTAGATAGGCATAATATACTGTATAGTATGCAATATGGTTTTCGCAGCGGAAGTAGCACCTCTGTTGCCGTAGCTGAGCTTGTAGACCAAATATTGCAAGAAACAGATTCAAAAAAAGTAGTGGGCGCCTTGTTTCTTGACCTGAAGAAGGCATTTGACACTCTCAACCACGATATTTTACTAAGGAAATTAGAACGATATGGAATCAGGGGAACCGCAAACAGCATTATCCGCTGCTATTTGAGCAACATAAGTCAATATGTTTCATGCGATGGAGAAATAAGCTCTAGAAGAGAAATTAGTACTGGAGTTCCACAGGGAAGTAACATTGGCCCTTTACTTTTCCTTATCTATATCAACGATATTAGCAACATTAATCTCGTTGGAACTCCCAGGTTATTTGCTGAAGACACGGCCTTATTTTATCCACATGTCAATTTGAATATAATTGTTTCAAAGATGAATCAGGATTTACGGTTGGTCCAGGGTTATTTTTCGGTTAATCTTCTCTAATTGAACCTGAAAAAAACGAAGTACATGATCTTTCGGTCACCTAGGAAAATTCTACCACAAGCACCAATTTTAGCTATGAACACTGACATTATCGAGAAAGTAGACTCATTCAAATATCTGGGAGTTTATCTAGATTCTACGTTATCGTGGGATTATCACATAAATAAGGTTGCAAGCAAAGTTTCTTCCATGTGCGGAATTTTGAGACGTGCTAGTAGTTTTCTTCCGCTAAAGGCTATGCTTCTTTTCTATTTCGCGCATATTCATTCTCATTTGAGCTACTTGATTATTTCATGGGGTAGAGCTGGTAATTCAAAATTGAAAAAAACTGCAAACATTGCAGAACCGCTGTCTTAAAATTATTTATAAATTGCCATTTTTATATCCTTCAGCTCAATTATACACCGATGTATCCAATAAAATATTACCAGTCCTTGGATTGTGTGAAGAGCAAACTTTGCTAATGGTTCATAATGTTCTACATAACCCATTAAGGCTACATAACATAACTATGTACACGCTACCTCGGATTCACAATACCAGGCAAACTAACCATCTGTCAAGAACCCGTGCATACTCCAGTTTCGGTCAAAAACGAATTTCCTTTATAGGTCCTTCCAAATATAATAACTTACCAAGACATCTTCAACAAATAACAAATATAAAATCCTTCAAAACTAAGATAAAATGTTTCTTAAAAGAACGAGTTTCGCAACCATTAATTTAATGCAATTTATTATTATTTATTATTTTTATTATCATTCATATGTCAACCGTCACAAAATATTAAATGCTTTGCTGAAAAACAGTATTTCGAATATGACATATTTAAATTTGTTGTTTTTTTTTCGTTTTCTTTTAGGTGTGCTTCTTTCAAAGGATATTTTTTTTCCACTAGAAGCACATAAATTGTTTTCTCATAGATGTTTTTTTCTCTCTCTCTCTCTCATTTGATATAAGTATTTAAAATTAATCCTCAAACGATTTCGCTGTTTATGCCAAGTATAGCTCGAAAATGAACGAATGGAGATTTTACGCGATTGGTTTCCTTAAGGGGAGGTTTACTTGAATTTGGCTGAAAAACAGTTGAACTTTGGAATTTTTTTTCAGGAGAATGAAAAGACATTGACAGTGTAATTGAATAGGAAGTGTGTGAGTGATTGCAGTTTCCATTTCAACGATAGCTTCTTCCACGTCAGCATATCGTCGGATATCCTAATCCCTTGTTGAGAAGTGTGGAATGGTTCTTCTAAGAACTGCTGCGCCGAGCGATTTACCACAAAACCTTCGACGGGTTGAACCACAGCTGTGTTAACCAGGCCAATGACAAGGCCTATGCCAACAGCAGCGTTTGACAGTAGGCAGCATGTCGTTTATTTTGCTGTGCTGGGCCCGCTGTCACGATATAACATGTTGCCTACGCGCCTGTCACTGGTCTGATGTTAACTGAACTGTGTGATTTCTGGCCCTCTGCTGTGTTGTGTATTTCAAACAGTGTTGTAGTGACCTCAGTTTGTTGTTAAGTAACTTTCTTTTTCTTTTTTCCTCGTAGTCCTCCAATACTTTTACCACAGACAAACAGACATAACACTCACAATCACATTCTTCGCAAATAAGGTTTCAGTTCGGCATGTGCTCGCATTTGTTATGGTGGCGCCCCTGAACCGTCAAGCAAGTCAGCACATTTTCAACTTATCAGTGGTGCCAGTTCATTTTTAGGTCAATTTAGTAGATGTCAGCTCTTGAAATAAGGAGGCAACGCAACAAATCACCTTCCATCGTTTCTGGGGAAGGCATCCCACATACTAATCTGAGGAATACAGAAATAAAAGCTATTGATGTTGATGATGATGGTCCCACCGCTTACCCCTACAAAGATTTGAGCTGGACGATTTATCTTTAAGATAATTAAGTATAACATTTAACCAGATTAGCAAACAAAAACGAACTCGTTACAGTTACAGATATACACCCCTATTCTGTATTTCGTTTCAAACGAAATTCTCATACAAAAAAATATTTTTTTGTATGAGAATTTCGTTCGAAACGAAATACAGAATAGGGGTGATAAATTCCCTCGACACTTTTCAGTTGCTTCACAACGATTTAAATGTGAAAAAGCTTCGTCGTTCACCTCTTTGCTCACTCTTTTGTCTACCTCAAATATTCACAAGCATTCACAGCCTCGTTCCCAGCAAACAAGAGTTCATGAATAATCAACAAAGCATTATAATACACTAGCAATCCCGCAATCTGATGTTATCGTAATTTTTAGAAACGTCAGGAATGCATTGAATATTACATTCTAAATGCTGCGTATTGGTCGTTCCACTTGTAGTGTAATATTACGCTATACGATGTACACAGATTTTGACAACAAATCATTTTAATGAGTGTAATGTTGTATCCAATTTTACAATCAATGAGTTCAATATATCATCATGAATAACATTGATTGATACATATTTTTTTGCTGTGTACATATTAAAGTGATGGGCAGTGCTAGAAAGGTGATACATTATCACGATTAAAAGCTTGTTTCCAGCAAAATAAAAATCACGCAAAACAAACCCCTAAAAATAGACTGAGCTTCTGCCATACGGATCCGTATTTCTGATAAATTCAATCAATACTGAATATTTTGCAGAACCAGCATTACTGACTTGCATTTGTTTTGTTTTTATTCAACACAGCTGACGCGTTAACAGACCGAGGGAAAAGCAACTAGTGAAAAAATTGCATGGACGAAGGATGCTACGGTTGCAAATCAATGCTTCGGAATGTGCAAGGTAGAGGGTGCTAGCACAGACAAACAGACATAACACAATGTATATTTCTCACTGTAAAACATCGTTGCTAAAACATTACCGCCATCTGTTGAGTACACTGTGGTGGGTAATACGCTGAATAGATGGCGGTAGTGTGTAAACGTCAAACGCAAGGGAATAGACTATGCACTATGACCGTTAAATGCTTGTTCGATGAACAACTTGCGAGAGTTATGTCTGTTTGTTTGTGGTGCTAGTGTGCACGCTTGACGATATTTTTTGAAGAATTTTCTTCTAAGAGTTATGTTTGTTGTCTGTGTTTTTACTTTAGCCAATACAGTGAAAATTCAATTGTGAATTCTTTGGTCAATTTCAAATACAAGGAATAACATTCCAAAGACTTTGTTTCCAACTTTGAGTAGAGACACTGAACGCTCGCTTTTAAAAATTTTGACTCCATCTTACGAACTACTTTTAATGTGCCAAAGGTAAATTTGCAAAGTTTTTGCTGTGTAGAATCTTCTAGTTTTACTGATAATCTGATTATCCATTGCAAATAATATTTTGAGATTTGTGAACGTTTTGAGAGCTTGTGCACAGATATATTGAGGTTAGGGTGAAGCCAATGAATTTGAGTCTTGTGAGAGCGCTGTTTTTACGATTTTTCACCGGAGGAATCCAGCCGCGAATCAGTGTTTGGTGAAGCGTACTGAAACAGTCAGAAAAGAACTTCCAAGGGTTAGAAAATTGCCAAGTCAAGGATCTCTTCCTGTATCACGAAGTAAATTGAAGTAAGAAACGGATCATTAACTCGCTGAAAACTTTAAGCGATTAAGCAACCCTTGTTTTGTAGATTTATATCGAGATGATTGCAGTTTCCTTCACACATCGCCATCAATCATAGTAACATCCCGGTTACTGCTCGAACTGATTTCTTGGCGCTTACCACGTTTAAAATTTGTGAATTTAGACAAATACGGTGCTTACCCATTTTCGGCAACACGTTTTTGCTGTTTTTATTTTACATTCTATAAAATGTAACGAACGTTTTATTTAATTTGAGATTGTACTTGATCACCCAGGTTTATGATTTCTAGAAAACAAAAAATCCAGACAGCATTAATACATAATACATAATACAAGTGATAGCTGATGAGATCGTGTTTGAAAAACCGGGTAGGCACTGCACCTAAATTTTTTTTTTTAATTACTGAAAAATCAGGGAGTTTGGTTTTCTTTATTGAAACGACACCCTGTAAAACCTTTATAAAACTTGCAATGTCGCTCGGGATGATATGGATTTTAAATGGTTGACTTGTCCTGTATTTTATAAGGAAACTGCATAGGATATCAACCAGCTAACCACGTGCAGCATTCAACTGTTTTTTAGCGCGCCAAAAATCTCGCTGCAGGGATTCTGCCTTTTTTGCCGCTCGCACGGTCGAGGGCCGGGTGCGCGCGCATGATCTCTCTTGTTGTGTCCTTTTTGATGGTGTGTACAAGTATCGCGGAAAAGCGAGGGTTCCTTCATTGGGACTTTTCCGCTCGGCTCCCTGTACGGGATAGATCACGACGCAGAAAAGTCGTATTTTTGTCGCGTTCCCTTTGTGTGTCTTTTCTCCATTGGCAGTGTTGTTGGAAAAATATTCTCCATCAGTGCGGTTGCATTGCCCTGACAAAAGGATTACTTCCTCGACTGAAGAGTGTCGTGTGCTGGTAAGATTGTTGGATATTCTGTGTGGAAAACTTGTTCAGCTAGTATCTAGGGGAAAAAAAATCGAATTTTCATCTATTCCTGTTAAAGGTTCGGGATAATAAAAGATTGGTCCTGGACACTCACACAAATGCACGACCTACCATACACTGTCATGTGTCGTTGTTCGTGGCAGATGACATTGGTGATAAGACTGTATGAGAATATTTTTTTGCGAGCATAGGAAAATCAGTTCCGTTTTACAATGGTATTTGAGGAAATGGTTTCCTTAAGTGTATTGGTGAATGTTGAATGTATTACTATCATATAGTAATGCTATGAGTGTACATGCAATACAGCATTACTACTTATTGTGGTGTCCTGATGGAAGGTTATTTTTTTAATAAAACAGTGCGGATTTAGGATTAACATCGACAGTGAGCATTCATAAGGGCCTAAGTCGCCAACGTAAATCATGACTTCTTTCACAAATTTCGATTAATTCAAAGTTTCTCCATGTATGCCACCAATTCTATCGGATGGAGAAAATTATACACTACATCATCATCGTAATGGATTGCTTGGGCGAGTAATTTGCGAAAAAAAAGTCATTGTTTATGTTTGCGATGGTCTTACACAGGTCAATTCTATATTGAACATACACTCTCGACCTAGGGGCAAGTCAGCTGTACTCTGAGTTAATATATTAACATTGAGTAACTGTGAGTTACTCGTAGCTACTCAAAAAATAACGAAGTAGCCTTAATTTTTCAATCTGTCGTATTTACAAACAAAATAACGTCAGCTATCATGAACAGTTTTGTTTAAAATTTAGATTTAGATTTCTTTATCAAAGAGACTTTCAGCTGCAGTTTATGGTTGTTTAATTGCAAGTAATTTATTTTTCTCTCCAAAAAGCTTTCTTTTTAAAGTATATATAGATACTGCTACAAACTGAAAACGTATGTCTATATTCCAACATCGATCATACGAATTCCAACAACTAATATGGATTTACAGGAATGATCCGGGAGTAATTGTATAGTCATCTTATTATTTGTACATTCGGTAGTAACGGCAAGAATTGTGTTTTAACTAATATTCTGCGCTAATACTGTTGTTAAGATTTACCCTGATTAAAACCCGTATTATTATTCCCAGATCATCAAGAGCTATTCGTGTTTTGTCTGCGTTAGTAGAACCACCAGTATGCAAAAAATAAAGGATAGAAACCTGGTCAACTCTGGTGAGTCTATGTACATATTTTTACGGACCTGCAGCATTTTGAACCACCTGCACATCCCTATCAAATGGCTTGACACCGATTGACACAGTTCCAGTACACCCTCATATTTTGAAACGAATTTGGACAATTTAAGCTGACTCATATATATCTTTCAAATATGTTCAAAATTTCGAAATTGTCCTTAAATGCAGTTATGAAGAAATAAATGATGATGTTTTATTTATTTACAACTGATTAGTTTCTTTGAAAGTATTTTCAATTATATGTTACACTGATCCATAAAGCTCATGGATTTTCAGGAACTAATGGCAGGGTTGTCGGTGTGCCACTTCCACTGACAAGACAAGCTGCGATGTCTGGAATAATTCTATGGTAGAAGCGACTTCCCAACAAACATTGAATGTTGAATAAGAGCTTATTCAGGCAAAAATAAGCTGGCCTTTTTAGCTGTTAATCAACTCAAATTGTTTGTTGGGTTGTTTCTCAATCATGGCTGACCAAAGTTATTAAAGTTATGCAAAATTCCAGCAATGCAACTGATACGCTAGAATAAAAGAAAATTACGACAAGGTATCAACAGATTACAAAATTGTTTTGAACTTTCACCGGTGAGTGACACATAACTCGATAAAAACTTTTCTCTCGTTGACTGAGTTGCTGCGATACATATTGACATGTTGACAACGATATTCATCATTGAGCAGCGCGAGTAACTCAGAGCTACTCAAAATTTGCTTAAAAATTACTCATGATTTAAAGCTGTCTGGCCCCTAGCTCTCGACTGCTTGATCTTGTGCTGGTACATGAAGCTACTGTATTGGATTGCACTGCTGTCGAAGCCTTCGAACCTGTTTAAGGATTTAAATTTTATCCTAAGCCTAGTATCCCGAATTTTTTTTTCAACATATCAGATTAAAAAAAAATATCCAGGTCCAAAATCTTGAAAACTCCCCTATGTGCCAAAATTGTATAATTCAATGTTACAGATGCTTGAAATGTTGTTGAAATTCGAGATCCCACAAATATCGAAGCATAGTATGGTGGTGCCCGCTAACTGCCCGATAATCACCCTTTTTGCGATATAAGGGAACAGAACACACCCCTGCTTGATATAACTTTAAACTAGTTATCGAAAAGCGCAATTGAAAGTGAACTGCGTTCCGGGAAAACCCGGAAATTTGTTATAACCAGGGAAATCCTCGGGAATTCAGTGGCACTACCACTATTTGCAACATGAAATGTTAGCATCTATGAGTCGTTCACTTTTCTATGAAACACAGTCTGATAAACTTTGATATTTTTGGGTGATTTGTTTGAATCCTGTTTTTTGTTATCGCTTTTACTTTGATACATAATGAAAGAAACAAAATTAAGTAGTATTATTCTCAAATCCAGGTAATATTCAATTTTATTTTTAATCGTAAATCTTCAGTAACTAGACAATAAAGTTCTTAATAAATTCAGCCATTTGATTTTAATATTTAATTATAACAACTACTAGAGAAAAGGTCGTTAGACTTCACCAGATTTTTTTCAACTTTCTCCTATGTCTGCTAACTTCCTTCAGGAGTTGCTTCTTACTACCTCCGGAACTTTCTTCCAATTTCCTTCGAACGATTCGTCTGAATATGTCATCCGACTACTTCTGTTTTTTTTCGGAATTGGACCAATTTTAATAATTTTATCACCAATCGATCAGAAATATTTCTACGCATCAAAAGCAATCCTTTTGACTGATGATTTTCAACAAGAAACTATTGAAAAAGTGGTAATGTCAAGCATTATCCAATGTTAAAATAAAAAGTGATAATTTTATCACTGTTTTCATGAAATGAACGTTCTTTCCAAACCCAGTCGTCATAATCGAGTCTAGCCTCAAATCATTTTCGCTTCGGACGGCGTGGTGAGCAGGCAGCAGAAACAGCAATAGCAACAGTAGGAAGGTGTTGGCAGGTTATGTATTCCACTCTTCTACCTAACAAGCATCAATGACTGGGAGGAACAAAGGAGGAAAAGAACTTGTTAAAGAAGTTGCTAAGCGTCATCGCAAGGTTCTTCGTGATAACCACCTGGTTCCTGGAAAATGAGATCTGTGATGCTGTCACTTACACTGAACACGGCCCTTTTCAGGGCCAGCAAGGTTATTACAGTAAAGAGTTGTAATAGAATTTATCTGCGCCTATTTGTCCATCTTCAGAACCACACGCCCCCAACAACCACGCAAAATGCTCTTAAGAGGCTGTCCATAATCTACGTATACAGTTTAGGGGGAGGGGAGGGGGGTTGGCAACTATCCACGGCCCATACAAATTAAACAAAAATGTATGGGCAATTGTCTACGCAGGGGGAGGGCGGGGGGTCAAGAATTTAAAAAAAAACTGTCTACGTAGTTAATGGAGCTGTAAGAGTTGTAATATTGTAACCAAACTTGGAAACAGGGGTGCAAGTGGTTTTGATCGATTTTCTTCAACGGCTTTCTCTTTGAAAAAAATTACTACAAATTTGGTACGCCTACAACTCAAAAACGGAAAGAGTTAAGATAATAGATGATCAAACAATTAATTCTACTTTTTTCCTGGATTTTCATCTCTTGACAGATTCTGTCAGCTTCCTCTGGAAGTTTCTTCTAACCTTCCCTAAAATGTTTTCGACTTCTCTGGTTCTTTCTTTCTCTTCTTCACATTTCAAGCTTATTGCTTACCGCATATTACCTTATTGCATTTTCTAGATGAACTTCCACAGTTATTCATTAAGAGATACCTGTACGATTTTTGCATTAGTATAATTGTGTGAAAAGTACAATCCTACTCTATGCCCAAAGAAGTCGAGAAATTTTCCATCCCGAAAAATTCTTAGACCGGACTGGGAATCGAACCAGCATGGTCTTGCAGTTGCGCCTATACCAACTGAGGTAAGGGAGGCCCATGCTTCTTTCCTACCGCTCCAAAAAGCTTCCACTAGAAATTTCACTTTGTCGAGAGTTCAGAGTAATTTACCCGGAAATGGTTACGATGTGGTCTATTTTTGTGAATATTTATACCGTATGCGTGATAATATTTGCACCATTAAACACTGTGAATACAAAAAAAAATCTAAAAACTTTCAGAGTGGAAAAAAACTTAAACCTATGTTAATCATCGATAGAATTTCCATTTGCCGCAATTACGGCCTGAACACGCTTCCGAAATGCTCAAGAGGTTCTAGACCGGATCCATATCTCTCCAGGTGCGCATCTATGTTTTTCTGAGGCTAGCTGTACTGGAGTGTCGTTTGGCACAACAGTTGGCCGTCATGACGCACCACACTGAATAATCCAAGGGGTTAAATCGGGGCTGGATGGCGGCCATATATCTTTCAACCACAACGGCGATGTTCATTCAGCCAATTCTGCTTGCGGTTCGAAGTGTGAAATGGCCACATTCGAGTCCGGTCCATATTGCTCAGCAATCCACGGAAGGAAATATTTACTAAGAATACCGATATACACCTCCGTATTCACTTTATCCCCTTCAGGAATAGTTTTTTTGTATGGAAAATACGGTTCGAACGAAAACAAGAATATGTGTGATTATCACGCATGTCTCTTACAACTGTCTCCCAAGCCCCATTTATGTATCTTCAATTAAATTGGGCACCGTTATTTTTGGTTTGACTAGTGAAAATCGTTTCCCATTTTTTTTCTTTATATTTTTCATCAACTGATTTTCTCAAACACGTTTAAATAAGCATACTTGGAAATGTTTTCTGCATCGTTAAACTTTCTTAAATTGAGGAGCG